AAGTAAAAAATCAAAACTCTATGATTGCTCAGAAAATCTGTGAATTCACAAGGTATTATTATACAAAAAATATATATATTTTGACATATGCTGGGAATCAAATCCAGGGTCTTACATTGTCAATTGCCTCGAGCAGGCCCCAATAATGTCTCTTTCGTCCTAGCCCTGAGATTTTAAAGAGTGCCATATTCAAGGCTCTTTCAGGGTTAGGAGAATGAGATCCATTATTGTTACTGGTATTTGGCATATTGGGTATGCCACAGGGAGTTTGCCAGACTCTGCCGTGTGGGCAGGTTACATTCGGTAGCTGGCCAGGTTGTCCAAAGTAAGACAGAGATAATGAGATGTCGCACGGCCGCAAATGTGGCTGTGCACTTCCGGGAGCTAGGTTTTATAGTCTCTGGGTATTGTCTTGGCCGTTGATGGAATTACACGGTGCCAGGGGGTCAGGTGGTGGGTGTGACCCCTGCCTACTGGAAGATGCAGGATCTGGGTGGAGAATGCTCAGCCCTGATCCGAGCAGGCTTGAAGATCTCAGCCCCGTGACCCGCATGCCTTTGTTCCTCTGCTGATACCTTCATGCGTGTGGAGAGTGGTCTCAGCATGGTTGTGGCTGGTTCCAGAGGTCTTTGGCTGCTGGAGCTCTGCTCGGGGTGGGGAGGGAAACTCAACCCGCCCCCCTCCAAGGGGCCCTGGCGAGGACAAAGGAATGTGGGTCCTGGGGCTGAGATCTCCAAGCCTGCTTGGATTGGGGCTGAGCATCCTCCACCCAGATCCTCCATCTTCCAGTAGGCAGGGGTCACACCCACCACCCGACCCCCCTGGCACCGTGTAATCCCATCAATGGCCAAGACCCAGAGACTATAAAACCCAGGGTTTTACATATCCAAGATAAATTCTATCACTGAGTCCTGGGCCACATACACTAACATTTTGTATTGGGGAAGGAGGTATTTGGTCAAACCTGGTGGTGTTCAGGACTTATTCCTGGCTCTATACTCAGGGATCACTCCTGGTGGGCTCAGGGAATTACATGGAGTGCCAAAGATTGAACCTGGGCCGGCTACATGCTAGGCAAATACCTTACCCACGTATTATAGCTGTAGCCCATAAACTAATTTTTAAATACAGTGTGCTTTATCTTGGACTCCTTGACAAGGCTAATGTGAAAACAAATAAATATGTACTTTAAAACATTAGAATACATCAGAATAATTTTTTTCTTCCTCCACATTTCACATTTGATTGATGATATTTACTTAATTGTCTTTGGGCTATATGTGGCAGTGCTTTGGAGCTACGACTGGCTCTGTGCTTAATGATCTCTCCTGGCTGTGCTTGGGGAATCATGCGGTACTAGTAATTGAGCCCGTGCCTCCTGCATGCAAAGCATGTACTCAGCCCATTGAACTCTGGCTCGGGGTCCTGCATCTATTTCATTTAATTCCTGGTGTCCTAATTTTGATCTTAATGGCACAATTAGTTACAACATAAGATAGAGGCTCTACAGGAAAAGTCAAAGTCCTTCACATAACTTTCTATCTGGTGAGATATTCCCCACTCTGCTTTTCAGAGTGCCCTGGCAATTTATGTCAATATTACCCTAGCCTTTGCTAGGTGGTGAAACTCAAATACACTGCAGTTTGACACGTGGTGCCTATAGTTCTGTGAATAAGAAGTATGGCATTTTAGATTCTGAAATATCAGCAAATCCACCCTCTCACCGGTACCCTATCTGTGATAACATTCTTAGGGCCTGGGCTTCCTCTTTGCAAGAGCTCAAAGCTAAACACCCAGCTAAATTCTGTCCAGTCCTCTTTGGTGTTTTGGGAAGATTCATTTACCTGAGAGGGGGAAGGGTAAACAAGCAAACACATCACAGAACAAAAGCCCAAGCAGAGTCAAGGTGAGACATTCCAATACCTGGGTGCCCAAGAATTGGGCTTTTGTGCATGTGCATTGTGCATATGTTTGCTTGTTTACCCTTCCCCCTCTCATGTAAACGAATGATTTGCTTCATTCCAATGCACTTAAAAATATTTACAACATCCAAGAAGTAGAAACAAAAAAATAAGTTTTACCCTCCCTATTAATGGAGCTCTTTCTTTGAACCGGCCTTAGTACCTGCACTTACTCGGGACCAGACCATCAGACTTCCGGTCTGTTTGTTTAATGGAATTTTCATCCCAATTGCTTTCCCCGTCATTTCTGGATGTAATCCAATTGCGTTAGCCTGCTCCTCCTTGTTCTTTTCTTATAGCCTCCACCCCTACCCCACTGGCTCTTTATCAAAAGCTTTTTCCTCTCCTTCTCAGATTCCTTTCCCCCATCTTTCTTCAGTATTCAAATCTCAAATGAGTTCCCCAGAAAGGGAAGAAATGAGAAAGGAACATGATTAACAATAGAGAATGTGGAGCGGTAGCCAGCACAGTGTGGATGAGCATTGGAATTACTGAACGTCACTAATAGTAGAAGGTAAGTACAGAGGTTCTAATACAAGAGGTTGTCACAATGATACACAAGACTGCTAATACCAACAGCGCAATCATTTTTGATATTGATGATAGATGAAGATGAAGATCAATCAGAAAGTGACACTGAACTTAAGGCATACCTTTTTAGTAATGATTGCTTGGAAGTATAGCATATTTGCTCCTGGTAGCTAACTGAAATACCAAATCATAATGAAGGTATAATGAAAAATAACTTGGAGCATAGTTAGTGGAGGCTTGCTTCACCTAGATATTTATTCACTGCATCCACTTACGTATATTAGTCTATGTGGGCAGAATTTCTTAGTAATTCGGGGTCATTGCTCTTTCAGTTAAAATGAGTGTTCTAAGGTAAAACTCTTGCCCTTTTGATGATTATATTTTCCTACTGAGTCATTCTCAAAGGCTCACCAGCTGGAATCTCACCCCAACTCACTGCACCCTCTCCCACCCCGCTAGCAAGAGTTGGACTAAATTCCAGGGTCTGGTTTAGATACTAGTTCAGTCAGCCACTGATCCTATCGTCTACTCCTCCAGGCTCAATGCTTCTAAAAGTGATAAAAAAAGGGAATTCAAATAAATTAAAAATCCTTTTTCACAAGGGGAGGAGGTAGAAGTAGGGCTTTGAAATTGTTCTTTTCTTTTCCATTTTTTTGAAGGACAATTTAATCCGAATATCATTTATTTTGCTTACCATTGAGATTATGGCAGCTGTCTACTTTATGTCAAATGACCTAGGTTTTTAAAAGTATGTAGGATTATTCTGCCACAGAAGTTTCTCTGTGCTCTATGTCTTATATCTGCAGGCTTAGGGGAAAGAAACAGATTCTTCTCTAGATCCATTTTCAAATAAAAAGTTCCCTATGAGATGTCTGAGGAAATTAGAAAAGGAAAATATCGAGGCTGTTTCATGAAGTACAGAGCTATTTTATCTGGGATGAGTTAAGAAAGAGTCTGTAATTGTTCCTGTGTTATCTGAAATACTCGACCTCCAAACAAGGACAAGGCATGTGACTGCACTTAGGGGGGCTGGAAATCTCCCCATGACCTGGGAGGCAGGTCTCCAGTGGGTCTGATGGGTCCGGAACTACCAGGGATGAGAGAGGTTGTGAGAGGTTCCCTCCCTCTCTTGCAGTAGAATTTCTTTTGATTTTGCTTCATTCCAATGCATTTAAAACTATTTATAACATCCAAGAAGTAGAAAAAAGAAAAAAGTCTTACCCTTGAAAGTCTATCAGGTTAACACAACAGAATCAAACACACAATTGACACTGGGAAATATTGAGCAGAATATTGATCTGTGATTGTCATTTACTGAGAAAAATGGTAAACTTATTCCAGGTAGAACTTGAAGACAAAGATTAGAGTTTCAAACTAAACTCTATCAGTGTGTTGGTCTGACTAAATAGGCCAGTTTCAAGCAAGCTACCCAAAGCAGGAAACCAAGATACATAAAAAGTCTGAGAAGCATGACTTTTCAAATTTTGATTAGGTATCAATTCAGTTCTGATGATGTAGGTTTATTGACATGTGATCCTGAGCTAGTGCGGCATCAAAGTAAAACATAGGCACCCTGTTGGAGCTTGTATGGGGACTTTGGATGACAGAAAATGAAAAATAAACACTTGGCAACAGGGTCTTAGAATATGATTACTTTGCCTGGGGGTGGAAGGGGGACATTGAAAGCAAACTCTGGTTCCTTTTCAACTTGCTTTAAGAAAGGTGAAATTTGAAAATGTGTTTAACTCCTATTCCTGGCTGCTTGCACCAGGATTCAGACCTCTACAGCTAGATATCGTCCAGGTGAAAGGTTACATTCCTTATTAGTGGAGAACTAAGGGGACATCCTGAAAAGCCTACGAACATATGGAATGTCTTGGCAACATTTGAAAGGATCTGGGAGACTCAACTTATTTACTCTCAAGATTGGTGCATTTCACTCCTGAGCAATGTTGAATTTTCTTCAGGACAGTAACAAAACAACGTTGAAAGCGTTGCTTTCTAGAGGTTTTTGTGAGAAATTTTAGAGTTAAAGGTGCTTGGCATGAATATGAATTCCAATTAAGTAATAGTTTCCTCCAGAAGAGAAAGGGGTAACACAGTCTATTTTGAATGCTCTATGGTAATAAAAGGTAAAAAAGAAAATCAAGATAGATTATATGGGATGGACAATGGAAACAAGATGATATGAAATCTGGTCAAAAAAATAATGGAGGGTGACTATTAACTTATAACATGAAACGTGAAAGGCAAGCCAGGCAGAATGTACATCAGCTGTCAGATTGCTTCATTCCTTTAGAGCAGTTGTTACTCTGGAAATAGCTTCCAAATGAGAAAGGATGACTAAAACAGATTAGTTACCATAGGCGCTTCTACGCCTCCGAGGGCTCCAGGGCTGTTAGGACAGAACAGCAAGAACGCAAAACAAATTCTAGAATATGAAAGAGCGGGCAGGGTCTCTGTTAGTCCTAAGTTATGCTCATGCCATGCAGGGTATTTTCTTGGTACCATTTCCATGGATCTCCCTCATGATCGCTGATGCTTGCTGCTTTCTCTGCTTCACCATGCTATTATGTGAGAGCATGACTCCTCGTTCCCTGTTCAAAACAAAGGAACGTTATTGAGGCAAAACGAAGAGCTCATTTGGAGTGTTTAAGAGCTGTCCTTATTGAAAGAAGGCATGTTTGTTATTTAAGATGTCATTGTTGCTTGGGACTGAGACACTCTGACTGGCATTCCCTATCTGGGGATACAGCCTGGCATTCAGGGACGGATGATGTTCGAGTGAGCAGAGGCTGATACCCACTGTGCCAGACCCCGTCTTATCTAATGCCCTGGTACCATGATCATCAAGCAGTGAGAGAGAATGACAGAGCTTGCTGCCCTCCCCTCCCTCGCTCTTTCCCACAGTTTACTTCACTCTTTCCTCGTTTTCCCCACTGGCCTTCCTGGGCACCAACGTCTCGAGACATCGATTCCAGCACACTGTAAGAATGAGGAAAGAAGCCCAGATTCAACCAGAACTCTTAGGTGATGACATTTTACTAGTGGCATCAACAGCTGTCTGTTAAAGCAAAGAATGCCTATGAATGAGTCACAGCTCTGAACTGTCTTGGACAACTGACTAATAAAACATTTGAGGAGGCGGTCGACTCACCTTTGTCTCTGAGCTGTGCTTTGCAGCAGGGAGGTGTCCCGATTTGTGGCAGAAGGACTGAAGATGGGGTTGGGATGGCAATTGTGCTGGCTGGTTCTTATCCCTGAGCCTGGGACGGCATGGTCCCTAGCTCTGACTCAAACTGGGGATTGAGCCTTTCTGAAGAGACTGGCATCCAGCTGACATCAACGGACTATATATAGCTACGAATACTTCAGCTACTCATATCTTCCTGGCGAAAGGGAGGAACGAAGAAAGATTACGTTCTCTCCATTGTGTCTCTAGCTTGCGCCACGGGTGAATGAACTTGAAGAAAGTTTTCAGGAATCCCCTGCACATTGGAGAGGGAGTCACCTAAGGGGGAGGTGTGCCACACATAGGGCTATTACTCACTCTTAGGCTATATCTTAAGGGGAGTGAGCAGGGACGTTTTCATGAATGGGAACCAAACAAGAGGTTATTACCCATTCAAGTGGAATGATGAACAGTAATATCTATGGGGTTCCTGAGAAGAAGGGACTAATGGAGCTGCGACATCTCTTAAGGAGTGAGAACTTATGCTAGGTTCAGAAAGAAAAAAGCAATATTTAAACAGTTGGGGTGTCCTTTGGGATGGATATTAGAGGGAGAGGTGTGTAGCTTAGGTTCATAATAGGGTCATGATTTCAGAGAGAATAGTGTCTACATAGAGAATGTAGCACTGTATCACTGTCCTCTCATTGTTCATCGATTTGCTGGAGAGGGCACCAGTAACGTCTCCACTGTGAGACTTTTTGTTACTGCTTTTGGCATATTGAATACATCACGGGTAGCTTGTCAGGCTTTGCCATGCGGCTGGGATACTCTCAGTAGCTTGCCGGGCTCTCTGAGAGGGGCAGAGGAATCAAACCCGGGTTGGCCATGTGCAAGGCAAACACCCTACCCGCTATGCTATTGCTCCAGCCCTACATAGAGAATAGTGTCTATAATGTCGATCTCTGGCAATATGGATCAGGGAAGGACTGATGGGAAGGATGGGGTAGGAGGGTTGGAAGGTCGGACCTGAGGACTCCTCACTGCTCTTGGAGCTCAGAAGTTTGTTCCCCTTTCTGGATTTTTCCTTTGACTATGTCAAAGGACCTTGGTTTCTTCCAACACACATGTCTCCTTCTAGAGAATAATTAGGATTCTGCTCATCTTTCCAGTTATCCTCACACCTTTTCTCAGTCAACCTCCCGCATGAGCAGCTGAGCATGACCAGGTGTGATACCGCCCCCCCCCAAAAAAAAAACCAAAACAGAACAAATCAAATCAACCTATAGAAGACACTGAGTAACATCTCCAGTTGCTAACTCAGCTTTGTTCATCACCCTATGTATTTTTTCTATCAATTAACAGTCAAGTGAAAAAAGAAATGATGGGAACTCCCCAAATCAGAAGTCTTATAAAGATAAAAATCCGAAAGGGGGGTGGAGAAGAAGTGGTTCAGTGGCAAAATCACCTGCTTTGTAGGTGTGAGGCTGTGAGTTTGATCCCTGAAGCTGCCTACATGCAGTCTCTGCTGATGCCCATAAGCAACACAGCCAAGTGTGTGAGCAAATCCCAGTCACAGCAATAACACCATTGCCAGAAGGAAGGGAGGCACACTTATGCTCTCACACATAAACTTGGCCCAGAGGTAAATGATTTAGGATGGGTGTGATTATATTATCAACAGGGCCTCAGTTACGTGCTAAACTTCAACTCCATTATCTTAAAAATCCATAAAAGGGGGATGAAGAGATAATACATGGTTATGGTAGCTTGCCTTGCATGCGGGTGATCTGGGTTCCATCTCTCGCACCAGATATGGTCCCTGAGCTCTGCCAGGAGTCATCCCTGAGTGATACAGGAGTGATCCAAAGCATCCCCTTCTCCACAAAACACCTCCTGCATGGATTGCTCTACCTTTAGTCAGCACATTCACATTTCAGTTAACTGGTGAATGTCATTCCTCCAGACCAGGTCCTGATTTTGCCCAGACTTCTTTTGCTGACATCGCAGGTGTTGGAACTCAGAGTCAAATGAAGTTCAAGAGAGGGAAGGAAATTAAATAGCATTCTTGTGACCATATGTCCTGTTAAAATACAGAGGCTTGATTACTGACAGAAGGAAAAAATGGTTACTGGGTAACATCTCCGCTATTTTTTCTTTTTTGCCACAAGAACATGTCAAAATTATTTTATCTATCACCCTATCTCTATCATTTATATATGATAATTTTTTTCTACTAAACTTCAAATGGTTTGGGCTTTGTTTATATCTTCAGCAGCAATAATTATGCTGGTATATGTTGAACGCTCAATATTCATAGGTGGAATGAATCAACATTCAATGACTGAAATGCGTGGGTTGGAAATTAGTAGTGGAATGCATTCAAGGTTTGGAATAGGTTTTCAATTCTTCTATTATGTCAAATTCTTGGGAAAAAAACAGGATGGTAGTAAATGATTCGGCACTTGAGTGTAAGAGGATAATGGGCATTATGGGAGAATTTTGTTTTGAATGAAATTAAAATGGATTATACATGTTGGTGCCTGATCATGAGAGTGACAATTCAAGATAGTAGGTGGTAAATCTAAGTTAACCTGTGACAATTATTTCAAGAAAATGAATGCTCTGAAGATATCAATTAGGTGCTAATGAGAAATTATTTTAGCCAAAGTTAATGAAATAAATTTCCTCTCAAAATTTCTTAATTGTTCTTATATTCCAGACTACTGCATCTATGAAGTATATTATTAGTCGAGTCTCTCAATCTCATTACTTTTCTCTATTTAATTTTATTTTGGGCTGAAGCGATGGCACAGCGGGTAGGGCATTTGCCTTGCATGCAGCCAACACGACTGACCTGAGTTTGATTCCTCTGCCCCTCTCGAAGAGCCCGGCAAGCTACCAAGAGTATCTCGCCCGCATGGCAAAGCCTGGCAAGCTACCCATGACATATTCGATATGCCCAACACAGTAACAAGTCTCAAAATGTTACTGGGCCCACTCGAGCAAATCGATGAACAGCAGGAGGACAGTGACAGTGACAGTGAATTTTATTTTGAAATTTTATTTTATTTTGAAATTTAAAAAAAATATACAGTGGCCAGGGATCAAATGTACAAGATATATGGTCTCACTAAGCGCCAGTCACAGCTGCCTTTTCTTATCCTTAAAATGGAAATTACAGGACTGGAGAGATAATACAGGGGTTAAGGAGCTTGCCTTGCATGTAGCCAACTCCAGTTTGATTCCCCAGCACTATCTAGGGTTCTCAAAGCACCACCTGGAGTGACCTCTGAGCACAGACCCAGGAGTAAACCCTAATTATTGCCGGTTGTGGCCCCCAAACCCCAAACCTCAAAAATTAATATAAATAAAATGGAGATTACATAAGGTCAAGATGGGTAAAGCTTTGCAAGTGGGAGACGCAAGTTCAATTTCTGACACCTTCTGGTCTCCTGGGCACTGCTAAGAATGACTCCTGAAGCCATTCCAGCCCATGGGAGGTCAGTGCAAGGCTGGGAGGGTTGCCCTCGGCTCTGCTATTGGGCACTGCAGGATGCAACAGTGTACCATCTCCAGCACCCGGCTGGATGTGTGTGAGCACAGAAGTTCAAGGGTGCCACCCCCAGTGAACAAAGAAACTAAATGGAAATAAGCATCAGAACTAGGAGCATAAGCCCCAGTAAGTGGTGTGTGATTACCACAGCAATCCCCACAAATAGGATGTGCATGAGCCTGCTAGTGAAACCCATAGCAAACGCAGCCCTGGTGCAACCTAGGCAAGTGATGGGACCAGCAGTGAAAGCATGTGTGACCCCCGGCAACAGCAACAAAATAAAAAGGGGGGATAATAGGCACATAGCCACACACATACACATGCATATGTATCTCCAGAACTCCCAGTCTTCCCTTCCTTCCTTTCTTTCTTCCTTCCTTTCTTTCTTTCTTTCTTTCTTTCTTTCTTTCTTTCTTTCTTTCTTTCTTTCTTTCTTTCTTTCCAAATGTAGGAGTACTGCTATTTATTCAGCCACTAGCTTAGCTGATTGAATTGGGAATGAACTGCACCTTACTTTTTTTTTTCATTTTTTATAATTTTATTTATTGAATCACCGAGAGAACAGTTACAAAGCTTTTGGGTTTAAGTCTCGTTCATACAATGAAACACCCATACCTTCACCAGTGTCCATTCTCCACCACCAAAACCCCCAGTCTACCCCCATCCCACATCCTCCCACTACCTGTGGGGCAGATGATTTCCACATTACTCTCTCTACTTTTATTACGGGCTGGAGCAATAGCACAGCGGTAGGGCATTTGCCTTACAAGCAGTCAACATGGCCCACTCGAGTTCGATTCCTCCGCCCCTCTCGGAGAGCCCAGCAAGCTACCGAGAGTATCTCGCCCGCACGGCAGAGCCTGGCAAGCTACCCGTGATGTATTCGATATGCCAAACACAGTAACAACAAGTCTCATGATGGAGATGTTACTGGGCCCACTCGAGCAAATCGATGAACAATGGGAGGACCGTGACCGTGACTTTGATTACATTCAATATTTTGACACCAGACCCACCATTATTATTTGGGATTTTACCCCAACACTCAGATCTGCTGAGAAGGCAACTGTAGACAATTTGTTTTCTATTGTTGGTTATGAATAACATATGGTGTCACGTGGCTGCAGTAGGGACCACACGATTTTGGAATTCGGAAGTTTTTTTTTGGGGTCACACCCAGTGATGCACAGGAGTTACTCCTGGTTCATGCACTCAGGAATCACTCCTAGCGGTGCTTGGGGAACCATATGGGATGCTGGAAATTGAACCTGGGTTGGCTGCATGCAAGGCAAACGCCCTACCCGCTGTGCTATTGCTCCAGCCCCTGGAATTTTGAAGTTTTAACAATTATATATGGAGGGATTTCTGCCAAAACCTGCTGGGTTCCGAGATTTGTTCCTGAGTCTCTGGGATCATGGCCCTTAAGCAGCTTGATCAGGAGCCAGAAAGGCCATTCATGGACAGCAACTCGGAGTCTCGTTGGGGTGGGGAGGAAAGGGCTGGCTCTACCCTCATCCTGTGAGGCCCCACATGTCTTGTCACTGAGGGCCCAAACCTGACTGCCCAATGGCCTCTGGAGGATGGCAGCCA